TGGTTCGTGCCCTTACCTGCAGGTTAGTGATGTGTCCGGTCATGCACGGTGATATTTTGATCGTGTATTTTCCTTTCCCGAGAAGCACCTGGATGTATCCTTTCTCAATTAGCGGCTCAGCCACTGCAGATGGAGACGACAGCCCTGAGCCGCCCAGGCCCCTGCTGAGCTCCAGGGAAGGTTATGGGCCCAGCACAGATGCCAAGGCTGGCACTGCCCACCCCAGCTGACCTGCACCAGCACAGTCTCGGGGGAGACGGGACAGCCTGGGCTCACTCTGCCTTCCCAGTTCCTCACAGACACAGTTCCATCCACTCTGAGGAGACCACCTGTGCCCCCCCAGAACCAGCTGGGCTGCTCCCCCCTTGCAAGCAGCCTGAGCTCAGCACGCCCCACGCACCTCCGTCCTGTGCGAAGGTCAGCATCACCTGGCCAGAGTCATCCAGGAATTCCCTGCTCTCCACCTCACCACCCCCATTCTTCGTCTTGCTGAAGAAGAGCTCCAGCTTGTCCAGCAGTATCTCCTCAGGGATGCCCAGGCTGGGCAGGTCAGACACGAGGATACTCCTACTGCTCTGAGCCAACCTGATCTGCGGGTGGCATAGACCGATCAGTGCCACGGCACGACCCCAGAGCTCGGGGCAGCAGCAGCGCAGAGCTGCGGCACTAATGAGCTGGGCTGGCACCGGCCTCCGGGCAGAGGCAAGCTCGGGGAGTGATGGAGCCGGGCACAGCAAAGCCGGTCTGTGTCCAGGGCAGCTCTGTGGTTCTCCGAGGTATGATGAGCAGCGGGCCCTCAGGACCTACCTCCAGGTCAGATGGCAGCAGTATATCCACCGGCGCTGCCTGGACTCGCATTCTGCACCGGTCGAGCTCCTCCATCTCCTCCCCGCAGCTCAGCTCCACCATGTGCTCCTTCGCCTCTATGATCCTCTGGGCCACTGCAAGCAGGGAGAGCCCCCAGCACAGGGGATCGACCGCCTGCTCCCAGTGCCCCACAGGACGGGACATGGGGCAGCTAACGCTTTGGGGAGGGGGCGTAACCCCGCACAACGCCGGCAGAGGGGACAGAGCTCCGAGCCCTGGCCCAGGGAGGGGACGTAGGGCAGGCCCCAAAGCCGATCAGCCAAGCTGTGGCAGTGCTCTTCTGGCTCTTACCCTCTGCCTTCTCAAAGGTGATGAGAGCTGAGCCCCCCAGCAGAGGGTAGCGGATCAATGGCGTGAGCGTCAGCTTGTTCCTGTCCTCCTTGGTTGTCACAAGTCCCTTAAACACCATCTTCTTCTCTGGCAAGGCAGGCAGCATCTAGGTTTGAGTACACAGACAGCACCTGGAGGAGACTGGACCCCACACAGGGCCTGTCCCTGCCAATCCACAGACTAGAAACAAGCTCATGGCTCAAAATAAACAGCTGGAGAGCCTCAGCAGACTCTCTCCTAGGGTCTGTCTGTGCCTGGAGTCCCAAAGCCACCACTGGAGCTTCTGGCTCTGGCAGAGGAGCCACCCGCTAGCAGGAGCTGTGCCAGTCGTCACACAGTGCCCAGCAGTGCCTCCAGCCAGGCTCGCGCCCCTCGCCAGCAGACCCAAGTGCCCACACACACTGTTACCATCGCCGGATCCTCCCAGACCATCCTCTTCCTTGCTTCTTCCAGTTTCTTTTTCAGCACCTGCTTCTCCTGCTTCAGTCTGTCGTTCTCCTTTGCTAACAAAAAGCCAACCTGGAAGGAAAGAAAGAGGGGCCAGTAAGGGAACCACCGGGACGCGAGGGGCTGCAGCACCCTCTCTGTTTTAAGCACAGCACTGTTCTGGACATGGCTGCATCCACTCCGCTTTTCTGCTCTGGACTGCCTGCAGCCCTGCCCTGGCTCCTCGTGTTGCATTACAGCCCTTGCTCCACTGCCGCCGCACTAGCTCACTTCTCGGCACCGGCCTGATGTGATGTCCCGTGAAACCTCCACCGTGTCCGGAACAAAGTGATCTCAGCCCCACCACCCACTGCCACCTTTCCAAGCCCAAGACAACTCCTCCGACCACCAACCTGGCAGGATACGTCTTCGTCTCTGTTTAAAGACATTTGTTGCTCAAGATTTTTATGAAGAAGTTCTCCCTCTTTCCTCAGCTCTTGTGTCTTTTGCTCTACAGCTTCCTTGGCCATTTGTAGCTTCGCATGGTCTTGCTCCAGAGTACTACAAAGCTCCTGTGAGAGGGACAATCAGACAGCGA